TGCTGGGATAAAGGTTGGGAGCCGGTTTAAAGTTGAATAAACATATTTTCAGATGATAGAAACCCTAAAATGCCTCTGGCTTGGGGCCAAGGGATAATTATAACGCCTACTGTGGTTCATGCCCATAGGGCCCTAACAGCAGCCCAGTGACATCACAGAGATATATATAGATGGCATACACAAAATAAGTTGCTCATCAGGTGTTTGGAGAGTGGCAGGTAGTTGTTGACTAAAGTTGTTAGTGCAAATAGACTCTCCAACTTGTGATGACTTAATATAAAAAACATAATTTTCATATCCATTTATCATTAATTTTGAGAAAAAAACCTAAAAGATGATTTCCCTAGAGAAAAAAGCCTCAGAATGCTTTCCAGAATTAGCCATTCAAAAATTTAATCTAAATATTCATTCAAAGATTTTTAGACCAAAAAAATTTAAAAATAAATAATAGTCTGGGTCTATAGAATACAAACTCCACAAACATAAATTCTATTCTTTATTTGGCTGTAAAATGTATTTTTACATCTTGACAAAAATACTTTTTCTGATCAAAATACAAATGCACATACTTAATTTACTCTAATTTTATGTAGTTGGGTTTTTTTAGGTTCTCTAACTAAAAAAAAAAATTTCAAAACTGCTTGTGCAAAAAGAACCCAAAATGACTAAAGATAAAACTAGTATAGAAAAAAACTTCTGTCTAGACAATTTAAATAAATCAACACGCACCTGCTCTTCACTTCAAGTCTTCAAGGAGCCTTTTTCCCTGCCTGGCCAGCTCCACTGACAGAAAGGGGCTGTGACCACGGGGGCTAGACTGATTTTTCTGATGGGACCAGCATCAATAAATGGAAATGGAATAATCATGGCCAAACAAAGCCAAGTAAGCCAGCTTGGGCACTCGTTCATGGTTTTATAGTATTTTGATCATGAGGCCATAAGAAGCATATATCTAGCTTTCATTAGTTCCATGTTCTATTGGGGGAATTGTAGCAGCCTAAGTCCTCATTTCTTAAGATCTCTTTTCTTTCTAATACACTAAATTATAAAGACTTTTCAGTACAGTACATTTATGGTTGTCTCTAACTGAGGAGTAATTTAACCTACTAATTACTTTTCTGTATTTTGCCTTACTAATAATAGTTAACATTTACTGGTTTATTTGTACCAGTTGTTCCAAGTTCTTTAAGTATATTAGTTTATTTAGTCCTCATTTGAATAATTAAGTCCATGAGCCAGATGCTATTTATTATCTCCATTTAACAGATGTGAAAATCCAGATACAGTGGTACGAAAGCCACTTTGAGCCACTATGCTATGTTGCCTTACACTTTGGATTTCTTAACATAACATTGTTCTGTTAATAAAATGAAAGGCCATACTTAGTGATTCTATTTTAAATTTTTTAAAAAATGTTTTATAACACTACGTGCCAAATCTATGGTAAGCACTCTACACAGGTATTAATTCATTTAATCTTCGTTCCAGTCCCCTAAAGTAGGTACCATTATTATTCCCTTTGTATGAGAAAGAAAATTGAGACACAGAGAAGTTGAGTAGCTTGCCCATGGTCACCCAGCTAGTATGATAGATATTTGGGGGTGGGCAATGCATATGCCAATTATTGCAATTATTTTAACATTCTGTCACTGCTATTTGCCTTTAAACCAATAACTCTTTCTAATTTTTAGCAATCTCATTTTTAAATAATGGGTGGTAGGAAGGGATTCAATGATTTCTAAGATCCCTTCAAATAGTCCTATTGATTTGGTACAACAAATCCTGCAGTCACATAGGAAGAAACCTTGTGTACGCCAATCTGAAGACTTAAATGTAAACTCTAGTTTTTAAACTGGCTGTGCATTCTAACACTTTTCTGCATATCTCCAAGAATGGTCTCTGGAAAAGGATCTAGCAGGAAGCTAAAAACGTAGAAAATATTTTGATAATCTCCAGAAATGCCAACTTCAGCTCAGCATCTGCCAATAGGTCCAGATGATACTCAACACTGTATAATATCTGACTCTACCATTCACCAGCTGTGTAACCTGGGCAGGTATTCAATTGTTCGGACCTCAGTGTCTTCTCTGTAAAATGAGAATAATAATAGTCCTACCTCAAGAGGAGCAATTGAGATACCACGTATAAGGCATGGCCCATGCTAAGTAGCAAGTAAAAATTTAGCATTATCATTGTAGAAGAACTTTTCTAAGAAAGGGAAGGGAAGATCATGAATTTTTCTGGTCATACTTGCAGAGGATTCCTTCTGAGGCCGAAAGCCCAGCTTCTGAAGATTTGGAAAATTGGGCTCATCTTTTTTTACCTTCAGGAACAAAAACAAATCAGTTAAATTGCTCAATGGTTAAGATAGATGTGACTTGATACTGAACTAAATTAGTTTGCCGAAGTTACTCAATTTCAGAGACTTTATGTCCTTGAGATCAGGATGAGCTAGAAGTTTTATTCGATTGGATTAAATTAACTAGGTAATCACGATTGTTAAGTCTGGTCAATTGGTTGGACTGGATTTTCTAAAGTTTGTAAGAGATATTATTCTGCCTACCCCTCTTTACTCAAAGAGGTAGTGGCTTTATTATTTACTAAATGTTTTAACAGTGCATTTTCTGAGGTCTGGAAATAGTGTTTTAGAGTACTGGAACCTGTTTTTCCTATGAAACAACCCATCAGTACATTATATAAATTACCTAGTAATTTAAACAACTCATCATACAGTATATAAATTACCCAGTATGCAAGGTAATAGAGAAGAAAGCCTAAGGAAATTTGAATTTTTTTCCAAGAGTGATAAAACAACTGAGAATATTGAAATTTAACACTACTTGGAGTTTTGATTACACTTGTTTGTCACTCTCACTTTTGTTATACAGAAGAACCAAATAAATTAATCCACAACTTTAAAGTAAGCTATTAGCTTAATGCAGATCCAAAGCAGGAATAAAGTAGGTCCTTTTTAAATTGATTACAGAATGTTACACTCACTGGTAGTTTATAAAGTATATTCACTTTGCAAAGTTGTATGTACAAATATGATATGATTATATCCAGGACAAAATAAACACTCTGAATTTAGGTAAAGCTTTTAGAACTGGAGGCAATCATAGAGATTATATTATCTACCAGAGGCCCGGAGGGATTAAGTGATTTACCTAAGGTTATGGGGATAATAAGTAGATATTACAGATTTTAGCTAAAGCTTTCTTGAGCTCAGGTTGAGGGAAGGCCCACTCTTCTACAACATATTCAGACAACATATTATCATGATAATAATTACAATAACTATTGTTTATTAAGTATATACTCTGAACCAAGTACTCTGCTAAGCTCTGTACATATAATTCTTTGTCCCCCACCTCATAGCTTTATGAGGTATGTCTAGTTGTTTCCATTTTATAGATCAGATGACTGAGATACAGCATTTGTGACTTGTTCAAGGCTACGCAGCTATCAAATGATGAAATCTGGGGTCCAGTCTCACTTCTGAATCTGCCCTCTTTCCTCTGGCCAGGCCACTTCAACCATGAGGACCAATACGAACACATCTTTGATTGGATTTTCCTTTGAAATCTGTATTTTAAACCTCTTGCGTGATAGCTTTGGCTGTGTGCAACTGCAGAATTTGATCCAAATGGCTGAAATAAATACTAATTCCTATAGTCTCAGCTCACATTCAAAGGAAGAGGGCATGAGAACGGGACATTATTTGTCTACTGTTCTTGAAAATTACCTCACTGACTTTTAATAAAATCAAGTGTAAACAATCTACCAAATTATTAAAACATTACCTTTTAGCCTATGTAGGCCATGGATTAAAGATCATGAACTTAAAATAAAAAATCTAATAGTCAACTCCAAGAGGATGAAAAGGAAATAGTAAGCCTGGTGCTCTGTAAATTAATACTTTGAGGTAAACTAGAAGTATTATAGAAAATTACTATTTACTTAATGTTTCATTCTGTTTGAAAGAGAAACTCTCAAATGTTCAATACTACTCTATATTTAAAAGTTTAAAATACACTGGAAATTGAATGATGATGGCGCTGGGCACTTTGGGGACAATAACTACAATCATAATAGCAGTGTCATAGCAAAATATTTTAGATTTACCGGCTGAACTGTTAAATTTTTAATATGTTAAAAGGATTCTTTCCAAGGCAAAACGAGGCAATATTATGTTTAACTGTTTGGAAACTTCTTTTATTAAAAAAGATGTTTAATATTAATGCTATTTTCAATACAGTTGTGATAATACTCAATAAAGTATCATGTACTTGATATAGTGAATTTAGGAATGTAACAGTCCACCTAGATATTGGCTCCCTCCTATCTCCATTAAGCTACGCTGGTAGCAAAATGTAAATATCTTTTTTTAAAAATAAAGAGGACTTCAGGTTGGATGAGCTGAGTGGGGTGGGGCAAGGAAAGTGCTCTTTCAGACATACTCATGCTTTTGGCTTTGACTTCATTTAGCATTATCATTTCTGAGAGAAATGAGACAAATCTTCCTGTGTTCCGCAAAAGCATAGGAGAAAAAAAGCGTGTCATTCACAAGCCACTATGGACAAAACCAGCAGCAGAGACAGGGGTTAGGAAAATTAGAGATCAAAAAACAAACAAACAAACAAAAGAATCAAGTTGGGATAAAGTGCAGTTACTGTCAAAAATATATTATTTTGATCCTAAGAAAATTAAGAGCATTTTATCTAATGAACTAGATTGCTGACCTTTTAATACATTTGGTTTTCATGAAACATACAATCACCATCGGACATAAAAGACTAGTTCGCCTTTTTAAAAAAATTGCTTGTAGTTATCTACAGAAATCTTGTGAATGCAATTCAAGGATAACATTCTGCAGCTCTTTGGGTATTGGATGATTTCCTCCGATAAATCCACAAGGAAAGAGGGGACTGTTAAATTCACTGATTCGAGTGGGCATTTCTCTTATTTTCTCATTCCTTTCTCCCATTACTCCCTCTTTCCTAAATGCTAGTACTTTCCGTGTCTCCATCCTCTACCCCTATGGCGTGAGACCGGGAAATCATGAATAGTTTCTCCTTGTTTGTAAACTGCCTCTGCACTGGCTGAGGTGGCTGGGCCGTGGGGGGCCGTTGGCTGGGATCTTCCGGAGGGCTCTGCTCCTCGGTTCCCAGGGGAGTGGTGGCCTCATAGTCTTGACTTTTACTGGCTACTGCGTCCACAGCCGACTCCAAGGAGGTGCCGGTCTCCCTCAGGGGAGTGTAGCCCTTATTGCTGCAAGTTGGGTCATCGGACTGGGAGCTCAGTGAGTCCAGCCTGGCGGGGAGTGAGTCCTCCAGCCGCAGAGGAGGCGAGAGGGAGACAGCTTTGGCCAGAAGGTTCGAGTCCAAGTCCGCGCTGCGCGACAAGGGCGGGGGCTCCGGGGAAAGTGCCGCCCGGTAGTCCGGGAGTCCGCTAGTGCTGCGGCGCCGCAGGGCCGCGTACCTGCCGGTCCTGGGCAGGCGACCGCCCTGCCCCCTGGCGGTGAGCACCGTCGCCGCGCCCTCAGGCTCCTCCAGCTTTCTGGGCGCCTGGCGCCTTCCGTCCCTGTCACCACGGAGGTCGGTCAAGCTCAGGTCGTGTTTACCCCGCGGGATCTCCCGGGAGCCGCGTTCCCCAGGAGACCTTTTCCAGCTGCAGCTTGCGCCCTCCACGACCCCGCCCGCGTCGCAGTCCCCTTGCAGTGGTAGCAGCGCGAAGGCGCTCAGCGAGGAGCCCACGAGGGAGCTGGCGGTGCTCTGGCGTCCCCAGCTCTCAGGTGGGCTGCAGGGCGCCGGGCTGCTGCAGCTGCTGGCGGC